AGGCCTGAAGCGAGTATGAGCATGCCCTACCTTTGGGAGAAAAATGACCAAATTTAATCTGTACCTCTTTTCTTTAGTAGTCACTACAGTTAAGAAAGTAGGGTGATTACAGAGAGGATGGAGATGAGTTTTTCTGCGTGGTTGTAGAGGACAGGACTAAAGCTACATACAGACATTCAAAAAGCCCGAGGCAAAATCAGTGTCAGTTACATGGTTTTCTGTAAGTGGCGTAGTTTAGATTGGTAGTGAACATAGTACACATTTGCCCTTTTGTGGTGGTGGTGGAATCTCAAACTGATTCTGCCATTTTTAAACCAGTCTGTGTGTGCTGAAACTCTGTTCTGTTACAGGTATAGACTGGTTTCTGATCACTTATACCGGTACTGTCTGTAGCAGGCCTAAGAATCATAGCCTTAGAGTCATAGAGAAATAGGGCTGGAAGGGCCCTCCATAGGTCATCTAGTCCAACCCCTGCCTGAAGCAGTATCCCAATCTAAACCTCCTTTTACAAATCCATAATCTAACCTCTTAGCAAAAACTGCAGTCAACCTTGACACAGCACAAGACATAAAACCCTAACCGGCCACAGGTAAAACAGGAGGACCATGGCAGGCAACATTCTGCTTCTGTAAAAGCTTATTAATATACCCTCAAGCAACAGCTTCAAGCTGCAGCAAGAGAAATTTAGGTTAGAGATATGGGTGCATCGATAAAAAAAATTTTTAGCCAATACCGATGGCTGATTATTAACCAGCCATATCAGCTGATACTAATCCAATAGCTGATATGCAGCCAGGCGGCTCGGAGAACAGCATTTGGCTGTTAAATCTGTGAGTGGGAAAGCGGGGTTGCTGATCGAGGCCCCCATGGTGAGGGAGGGAGTGAGGCTGGGGCAGGGGCAGGCACTGCCCAGCCAGGGCATTGAATGCAACCCCGCTGGGAGTGAGACTGAGCTGCAGGTGGCTCATCCGGGGGGGCACAGCAGGGTGGGGAGAGGGTGGCTTCCCACCTTTGCACACACCTCCAGGGGAGGCATGGGGGGCATGTGACCCCCTCCTCCCCCCCCAGATTTGTACACAGAGCAAGAGCAGGCTGCCTGCTGCAGGCTCAGGACCAGGGGCTGCGTTGGTCTCTTCCCGGCGGCGGGGCTGGGTCAGGGCTGTGCTCGGGGCGGGTGGAGCAGGGTGTTGGTGCTGGGAGGGGGGGCTACAGGAGGCTACAAGGAATTTTGGGGTAGACCCTGCTCCCAGCACTGCCACCGCCTGCCACAAGTGTAGCCCCAGCCCAGCCCCCCTGCTGGGAAGAGGCTGGTGCAGCACCTGGCCCTGAGCCTGCAGTGGGCAGCCCGCTCTTGCCCTGCACACAAATCCTGTGTCTTGCCCAGGGTTGTGCACAGCAGCAAAGAGACGCCCCTCTCCCCACCCCGCCATGCCCGCCGCACAAGCCGCCTGCAGCTCCGTCCTGCATTCCAATCCAGCTGGGCAGCATCTGCCCCTGCCCCACTCCCTGCCTCACCATGGGGGGCCTCAATCTGCCCCTGACCACACCCCTTTCCTCCTCTCTGCCCCTTCCCCTCTGCAGACTTACTGGCTGGACACTGCTCTGCAAGCTGCTGGGCTGCATTCCTGGCCATATGCAAGCTGCAGCTGAGCAAGTGAATGCGGCATTTATCGGTGTCATTATCAGCTACACCAGGCAAAAAAAGCCGATTGCTGATAATGTTAATTTTCCTTTTATCAGTGCTGATCCGACATGGAGCAATATATCGGTGCACCTCTAGTTGGAGATTAGAAGGTATTTTCTGACTGTAAGGTTGGTCGAGCATCAGAGCAGGCTACCTAGAGAAGTTGTGGGCTCTCCATCCTTGAAAGTTTTCAAGAGCAGGTTAGATTGACACTTGACTGGGATGGTTAAATCAGGGATTTCATAGATTTCATAGACATTAGGGCTGGAAGGGACCTCGGAAGATCATCGAGGCCAGCCCCCTGCCCAAAGGGCAGGAAGTCAGCCAGGTTCATAGGCTCCCAGCAAGATGAGCATCCATGCTCTTGAAGGTGTTCAATGTGGGCGCTTGAACCACCTCCGGTGGCAGGCTGTTCCAGACCTTGGGGGCTCGGACAGTAAAGAAATTCTTCCTTATGTCCAGCCTGAAATGGGCTTGTAGTAGTTTATGACCATTTGACCTAGTCATCATCCTGTTGTTCCTGCCTTGAGCAGGGGGCTATACTAGATGACCTTGTGAGGTCTCTTCCACCCCAACGTTCCTATGATCCTACATAAGGTTTCCATTCTTACCTTCCTTTACCAGTAGCTCAGAGCTTTCTCTTGTTTCATTTGTACATGTCCATGCTTGCCCTCAGGCCAAATTTTCTGAACGTGTACATGGTATGAGCTCACTGGAATAGGAGAATAACTCGATGTTACAAACATGTTTTCTCCATCAGCTCCAGCTTTAACAACCAAGGTAGGTTTGAAGAGAATAAACTTCACGAATTCCATTTGGTACTTGGGTGCACACTTGCTCAAAAACGTCCTGACTAGATTTCTGTTTTGCTTTTAAATGAGTGCACAAGGGGATAGTGAAGATGAGAAAACATATTCAAAATACTATGTACAAAATGGGGAGACAAAACCAGAGGTGCGTAATGAAAATATTTCGAAAGGGGCTTGGCTGGCATCATACATGTGTTAGGCACTGTGCCAATGATGATGGAAAACCTGGTTGCGGGCTCTGCCCAGTGGCAGGCTCCTTCAGGTGCAGGGTGCACTGGTGCACTTGCACCTCTCTTTGACTCCTGCTCCACCCAAAGTATAAAACCAACTGCCTGGCCATGGCAGCAGGGGTTTCGGTTGTAGCCGTGTTGGTCTAAGGATATAGGCAGACAAGGTTCCTTGGGTGAATTTGATATCTTTTATTAGACCAACCCAAATGGTTGGAGAATAGTTATTAAGCAAGCTTTCGGGTTCAAAAACCCTTCGTCAGGCTCAGGAAGCTGTAGCAGTTGGTGTGTGCTCTTCCTGGAAAGCTTGCTTAATAACTATTCTCCAACCATTTGGGTTGGTCTAATAAAAGATATCAAATTCACCCAAGGAACCTTGTCTGGCCATGGCAGCAGCATTTCTCGTCAGGCAGCACTGAGGGTGTCACTTGACTTCATGGCTCATTATAATCTACCTGACCCCTTCTAAATTCTTCATCCCACCGGTATTAACGGCCCTCTCTTCTTTTTAATGGTCTTGAGGCTCAACCCACCAAGCTATCCTTTGTTCTGCAATGCTGCTGTCTGTCCACTGCTCCTGGTGAGGAAGCTCCTATTTCACAGCCCCAAAGATTGGTTTGAACTCATTCCAATTATGTTGTGTTTATTTTCACTTCCATCTGCAAGGGCATTAGACAGCCCTCAGCCTACCTAGCCTGTTACTAAAGCTTCTGGTTTCTTTTTTAAAAATTCTAGTTTTCTTTTCTGGACAGAAATATGTGCCATGTTCTAGGTGATGGCTCCCCTCATCATCCATACCCCATTTTTTAAAACCCATGTACTTATCTCTCTACTAGTACACCTTCTTCTCCACCCCCTGGCCACCGGCACTGTAGGGGCTGACTAGGCAGTGCCTCCCCTGCAGCCGGCCAGCTGCGGGGGAGGAAAGCTGCTGGCAAGTGGTCCCTGAGATGCCCCCTCCCGCTGCTGGCCAGCCAGCCCCAGGACACCAGTTCCCCAGCAGCACTGGGCATGATGGGAGCAACTGGCATGTTGCCGTGTCACCCCAGGTGTGCTCTGCACACACCCCAGCCTCCTGCACTACGGGGAACCGCTCCCATGCCCAGGTCCCTTTGCGCTGTGACGCTACAGCCACCAGCACTAGAACCCATCCCCTCACAAAGATGGCGCCCGCCTCCTACACTCGCCCCTCACAAAGATGGCTTCCGCTTTCCACCAGAGCCCCTCACAAAGATGGTGGCCAGGGAGGCCCGCTAGAGAGCTCCCTCTGCCCCTCAACAAAGATGGCATCGGTTTTCGCCTCATGACCCTCACAAAGATGGCGGCCAGCGCCTCGGGCTCTGTTTCCCCTCTCTAGTGGCGGTGCGTGGCAGTCCCGAGCCGGGGGTGTTGTGCGCATGCGCGGCGCAGGACACGCTGGGACCATGGTCAAGAAAAAGCGAGAGGGGCTGCGCGTGGCCCAGGAGGTGAGGGGCTAGTGTCGGGCCGAGGGGGGCGGGGGGTAGTATGTGCAAGGGCAAGGCTGGGGTGGAGGGGTAAGTGCAGTGTTGCATGAGCAGTGGGGAGGTGGAGGGTGCTGAGCTCTGCCCCAAGCCCACCCCCCAAAGTGCCCTTTGCTATAGGCAGACAAGGTTCCTTGGGTGAATCTGATATCTTTTATTAGACCAACCCAAATAGTTGGAGAATAGTAATTAAGCAAGCTTTCGGGTTCAAAAACCCTTCGTCAGGCTAAGGAAGTTTCAGCAGTTGGTGTGTGCTCTTCACTTCTGCTGCCCCCTGTGGTGCTGCAGCCCCCCCCCAAGCCCTGTGGTGGGCAGGGTTCCTCCTATGGGATGTGCCAGCAATGCCCTA